GGATGCCTGACCGTGCCACGTCGCTCCCGACGTACCGCGCGGGAATATTACCGCGCTCCTCCGTCCGTGCAGCCGTGCACCCGAGCCTCCGTGCAACCCCGGCCTCCCTGCACCGCACCCGGCTCTGCCCACCGCCTCCGTGCACTCCGCCTCACCGTTACCCCGGGCCCTCCCTGCACGCCCGGTCCTGCACCCGGCCCCGTGCACCCCAGGCCTCCGTGTACCCGCGGGCTCCCGTGCACCCGGGCCTTCAATGCATCCCCGGCCCCGTGCACCCCCGGGCGCTCAATATCAGTCTCGCGGGCCCCTCCGTGTCACCCCGGTCTCCGTGCACGGCCCAGTGCACACCCGGCCTCCGTGCACCCGGGCCTCGTGGCCACCCCGGGCCGTCTTCCCGCTGCACCCCGGCTCTCAATGCATCCCGGCTCCGTGCCCCCAGGCCTCCGTCACCCGGCCTCCGTTGCACCCGGCCTCCGTTGCACCCCGGGCTCCAATGCATCCGCGCCTCAATGCACCGGCCGTCACCCTCGCACCCCGCCTCCGTGCCCCCGGGCCTCACCCGCCTTGCACCCCGGCCTCCGTGCACCCGGGCCCAATGCACCCGGCCTCCGTGGCACCCCGGGTCCTATCACCAGGCCTCCAATGCACCCCGGCACCGTGCACCACGGCCTCCCGGCACCAGCCTCCCACGCTGATAGGCAACAAGCTCTTAGCCAGCGTTGCTGGCGCCCAGCGCCATGCTGTGTACCATGGCCTCTAACATTTATATTCCAGGGCAGGCGACCTCAACTTTCTACACAGGGGGGCCAGTCCCTGTCCCTCAAAGGCCATGGGATGGCCGGGCGACAGTAGAAAAAAAAAAAAGAACAGGCGGGCGCGCCGGGCTCAGCGCCTGTCTCCCAGCATGGGAGGCCGGGCGGGAGCTCCGCTCCGAGGTCAGGAGTTGGAGGCCCAGCTGAGCAAGAGCGAACCGTCGTCTCTACATAAAAATGGAAGAAATTAATGGCCCCAACTGAAAAAAAATAATATATATATAACCTACTATTGAAAATTAACTTCTTGGGACCAGGTGGAGTACTCGATGAGGTCAGGACGTTGAGGCCAAGCCTGAACAGAGCCGAGACCCCGTCTCCCCCTACTAAAAAATATATGAAAGAATTAATTGGCCAATAAAATATACTCAGAAAAAACGAGCGCGGCCGTGGAGGCGGGAGGTCGCTGGAGCCCAGGAGTCGGAGGCTCGTGAGCGAGGCTGACGCCACGCGCTCCACTCGCCCCGGGCGACAGACGAGACTCGGTCTCAAAAAAAAAAAAAAAAAAGCACAACAGATCTCGCGAACCCCACGTTGAGCCGGAGGTCGAGGAGTGAGCTATAACGGAGCAAGAAACCGCAGTTGTGGGTTTCGAATCCGACCTCGCCTCTCACCTGCCACCGGTGACGTCTGCCGTGTCTCCGCTGCAAAGTGGACGTCATAGTCCCACGAACGACATCCTTAGGCAGTCCATATGAAGTCAGCCCTCTGAATCATGGCAAGCTCCAACCTGGCCCCCAGCGATCGCTCCTGCTCAGCCCCCTCCCCGACGTGCTGGGACACCAGGCCATCCCTCCGCCCAGCTCGTTTTCTATATATTTTAGTTGTCAATTATTTTTCTAATTTTTTAGCAGAGACGGTCTCGCTCCCTTGCCCAGGCTGGCCTCAAACTCCTGACCTCGAGCGAGCCTCCCTCTCGGCCTCTCCCAAGTGCTGGGATGAACGTGAGCCTCTCGCCGGCCTTTCTACTAATATTTTTAGTTGTCCAGTTAATTCTTTATTTTGGTAGAGACGGGTTCACTCACTTGCTCAGGCTGCGCTCCCAATCCTGACCTCATGGAATCCTCCTGCCTCGGCCTCCCTCCCGAGTAGGCGGGACGACAGCACGCGCACCCATGCCGCCTCGTTTTTTCTATATATTTTTAGTCATCCAGCTAATTTATTTCTTATTTTTTTAGTAGAGACAGGTCTCGCTCTGCTCAGGCTGCCTCCAACTCCTGTACCTCGAGTGATCTCCCTCCTTGGCCTCCAGAAGTGCTGGAGACAGGCCGTTGAGCCTCCGCGCCCGGCCGTTCTATATATTTTAGTTTGTCCAGTCATTTTCTATTTTGGTACATGATGGGGGAGGGTTCCGCTCTTGCTCAGGCTGGTCTCGAACTCTGGACTAGTGAGCGCTCCCTCCTCGGCCGTCCCTCCGATACTGGGACTACGGCATGCGCCATCGACCGCTGCTCTTTTTTCCTATAATATTTTTTGCGTTGTCCCGCTAATCTTTCGTATTTTTTTTAGTAGAGACGGGGTCTCGCTCTTGGCTCAAGCTGGCTCCAACTCCTGACCTCGACGATCCTCCCTCCTCGCCTCCAGAGTGCACGATGACAGAGACGTGAGCCACCCTACCCGCCCCAGCTATTTTTCTATATTTTTTAGTTGTCTGCCTAATTTCCTATTTTTTTTTAGTAGAGCCGGGTGCTCGCCCTTGCTCAGGCTGGCCCTCCCAACTTCCGCCCTCGAGCGAGCTCCCTCCCGGCCCCCGAGTGCCGGATGACAGATCGTGGTTCTTGAAATTGTTCTTTGGCAGCAAAAAAATTGGATGAAAGGGCAATCGTGGAGCGGTATTGTCCCCATCTTGTGTCACCCTCCCCCCCGACTCATATTGCCATGAAAAATTTCCACATTTCCGGGAGGGTTTGGAAGAAAACTACAGACGCCAATTAAATTCCGGAAGATTCTCCTCTGAGCCTCTAAAAAAGAAATCCTCGTCCCCCCCTAACAATCTTTGCAGAAGGAAACCTTTCTCCTTGCTCTGTGCCATACAGCAAAGATTGGGGCTTTAAAATAATGAATGTATCGTCAATCCCAGAGCCTCTGGTAGCCGAGGCGGGAGGATCGATTGAGCCGGAGTGGACGGCCAGCCTGACAAGAGCGAGACGCCCGTCCTCTAGCTAAAATAGAAATTAATGGCCAACTAAAAATATGCAGCAAAAAAAACGAGCACGGCGTGGAGGCGCATGCCCTGTAGCTCCCAGCTACTCGGGAGGAGCGAGGCGGGAGGCCCGCTTGAGGCCGAGTTGGAGGCTGCTGTGAGCGAGGCCTGAGCCACGGCACTCCGCTGTAGCCCGGGCGGCAGAGCCAGACTCGCTCAAAAAACAAACAAACAACAAAACAAGAAGCCAAAACAGGAACAGATATAAAACCAGAGCTTTGTAGAAAGGTACAAATGTGGGTTTTTTTTTTGTTGTTGTTGATATTATATTTTCTTTTAAATTTTTTTTCTCTTAGTATTTCCATGGAACAGATTTTATATTATTTCATATTTTCAAATCGTTTCTTAATTTCAAAGACAATTTACTTTAAACTTTTAAAAAAAATTGTATTAATTTACATATTTATTTTTTTCTTTTCTTTTTTTTTATGTCTTTGGTCTACAGAAGATTTTTTTTCCCCCTGGCTAATAATTTTAGTTTTCGTTTCTTTTTTTTTTAAATGCTATCATTAAGGATACATTTTAGTTTTTTTTGTTTTTTCTTCATTCTTTCTTTTATTCTATTTGATCTACAGAAAGTATTAACCCTGGATAATAACTTACTTTTCTTTGTGTTCTTTTTGGTTGTTTTTTTTGTTTGTTGTTTGTGTTTTTGCACTTTTTTATTTCTTTGGTCTACAGAAGGATTATTTTGTCCCTGCCTAGTAATTTTAGTTTCTTGTTTTTTTAACATTTTTTTTTACTTTGTTGATCCACAGAAGGATTTCCTGGCTAGTAATTTTACTTTCTTTCTTTTACCAACTTTTTTCTTTTTTGCATTTATTTATCTACTGAAGGATTTTTCCTGGCTAATTAAAATTTTATTTTTCCTTTTTTGCCCACTTTTTTTAAATTTCTCTTGATCTACAGAAGGAGTTTTCCTCTCCTGGCTAATAATTTCTATTATTTTTCCTTTTTTCACTTTTTTTTTTATTCTTTGACATACTGAAGATTTTTTCTCTGGCTAATAATTTTTACTTTACTTTTTTTTAACTTTTTTTCTTTTTCATTTATTGTGATCTACAGAAGGAATTTTTTTTCCCAGCTTAATAATTTTATTCCTTCTTTTTTTCCATTTTTAAATTTCTTTATCTACAGAGGATTTTTCCTGGCTAATAATTTATTACTTTACTTTTATTTTTTTAGAATTTTTTCTTTTCATTTATTTGATCAACCAAGAGATGAATTTTTCGGCTAATAATTTTATTTTTCCTTTTTTTTCACTTTTTTTTTAATTCTTTGATCACAGAAGGATTTATCTGCTAATAATTTTACTTTCCTTTTTTTTGTTACTTTTTCTTTTTTCATTTATTTGACACAGAAGATTTTTTTCCCTGCTAATAATTTTAATTTTCCCTTTTTTCACACTTTTTTAAAAATTTTTTTTACAGAAGGATTTTTTTCCCTGCTAATATTTTACTTTTCCTTTTTTTTTTCTTGCTATCCACTCTTATTAGAGAGGGTGACAAGGTTATTATCAAGAGAATTCGTTATTACAAATAAATTTAAACATGTATGTTAAAAAGTCAAAGT